AGAACCAAATTGTATGTGAGTTTTTGTAAAGAACATTTGTCAATTGATGTTTTGTCGTCATTTAGATTAGTTTATTGTAAAATCCTGACGATGCACATAGTTGCAAAAACGTATGAAATTTACTTTTTAGCAAAAACTTCTTCAAATTTACTTTTCAATTCGTGATAAACCAAAAGGCGAAGAGCATAAAATTCCAACTGTTTTTCCACTAAAGGGCCAGTATAAAATTTTTTAAATGATTTTCATCAATGTATAGGGAATTTTTATAGTGTTTTTTTTATCGAGACGTGAAATATGACCAATTTTTATTTGAGTCACCGATTTTGTTTCATATTGTAGCAGCTAACTCCCTGTTCCACAGCATCAACACCTTTAACACAGGTGAAAAAACGCAATACGAGAGCCTTGTTACAGCAATTCCTGGCCTATCCCTTAATAACAACTTGCTCAACCAAAGAAAGAAGCTGCGACGATTACTGGAAGACAGTCCACTGAAAGAGAAAAAAGTGGTTTTGTGGCACGACGTGGTGAACAACACCAAAAGCAGCCACAGAACAAACAACTATTGCCCAGCCGGTGTCGAGGAGCTGACAAACTATTTGAAGTCGAAGAAGCAGCAGATATTGGCGATCGTCTATTGCAGAAGAGAAGGAACGCCCGACTTGTTTAATCAGCTTCTCGGCACAGGTGTGCTCATTATTCCAGCTCCAAGAGCAGGCAAAACGACCCAGAGCAGCTCAAGGAATATTTGAAGCTGCACTAGAGTGTTGAATTGGAGCTGAAATCATTGCGATTGGTAGTGGCGCACAAAGAAAGGCTGTCAGAGCTGAGTGGCAACATCAGGGGCAAACAACAGAGACCATCACAGACAAGGAGGAAAACGAAAGCAAGACGTGAGCAGAAACTGAAGGCAGGGGAAGTGTCTGCGCTTCAAAGACAGAGGTGAAGAGAGTGTGATTTGTTTTGCTTTGTGCCTTGTGAGTTTCATTACTCGTGGCCTGCAAAACAATGACCACATTACTGTTGCCTGCTGTTTAGGTCAGACAAATTTCAAAAAGAAAACTATTTTAGAAAATTGTGTTAGACTATTTAAAAATTTTTTAAAAAGTTCAAGTATCTGTACATAGACTGAAGTTTCCGAGAAAATGTCTGAAAAACTATCTAATACCGGACTTTTTGAAGTTTAGGGTCCCCGAGAACTGTTTTTTTTTGGACCAAGCTGTGCATAATTTTCAATTGAAACTACTAAGGACTGAAACTTCTAGGGCAAATGAGGATAGGAAAACGTACGAGGAGATGCTAATGAAAGCAAGATCACTGGTGCAAAAAGAAGTTGACGAACAGTGGTGGGCATCCAATTCCCGATTCGTGAGGCGTCAAGTTGAGGCAAGCTTGAAGACAACATCAGAAAACTATTGAAAAAAGTTAGAAAAACTGTCCGAGAGACAAGATAAACCTCTTGGGGGGAGAAATGAGTGATGAGTTAGGGTACTTGATAACATTGAACTGCCTGAATGGGTATATGAAGTGCTATCAATGGGCCCGAAGCATCTCATTAGAGACAAATTTAACGAAACAAACTTTTTGGCGGATATCGGCATTTTCCTCTCACAATTGAAAAATCAAAAAACATCTGGTGAAACAATATTTGATAAAGAAGTCGCGGCAAAGGCATATGCAAAAAACGTAAGGCAAACCCCAAGAGACAAAGCCGTTGAAAAAACGAGGAAATATCCCAAGGATAATGGATTCCTGGCTGTGCCTTTTGATAAGGAGGTTGGTTTTTGCATAATGAGGAAACAAACGTATGAATCAAAGCTGGAATCGTTGTTGCAATCTGCTCAGTTTGTGAAAAAAAATGCAACCACTAATGAGATTATACTGAAAATTGAAAATGAACTTAACAAAGAATTACTAGCCATGAACAAAAGAGACGAGACAAAAAATCAGTTGTATTCTAAGATGTGGTCAACAGGGGGGCAACCTTCCCGTTTGTACGGTTTAGCTAAGGTACACAAAGCTGAGACACCCCGTACGACCAGTACTATCACTTCCAGGCAGCTTGTATGAGAATCTGAACAAAATGCTTGCAAAGTTTTTTGACAACATCGATGGAGTCAATATAGAAAAGAATACTGAAGAGGCCAGAGAAACAATTGAAAACATTGCTCTAGATCCGGATGAAACCATAATATCTCTTGGTGTGAAAAGTGTGTACACCAACATTCCCCTGAAGGAGGCAAATGAAATTGCTTTACAGAAGCTGTACAGCCAGGAGTCTCCTCTTGAAATTCAAAGAGCAACCATGAAAAGGCTTTTGAGTATGGCGGTCAGCAAAGTATATTTCAAGTGTAATGCTTCATGGTATGTACAAGTTGATGGTTTAGCAATGGGCGCGTCACTCGCTGTAATTCTTGCAAACTTATGGCTGAAAGAATACGAGTTTGCTCCAAGACAAGAAATACCAGTGGGAACAGAGATACAGCAAATAAATGTCAAAAACGGCTTGTGCCCATGTTGCAGCAGGAAAGTCACATATAGATCAAAGGGGGTTGAATGCGAGAGTTGCCGAAACTGGTATCTCCTTAAATGCGGAAAAACATCCGATGACCTATACGCATCAATAATCGAGATAGTCTGGTACTGTGAAGGCTGCTACTGTGAAGGATAAGGATACTCCACAGATGAAATTGTTCCTCAGGTATGTGGATGACATTGTTAGAACAGTCAGAGGGGAGCCGAGTGGTCTTCTCGATGGCGCCAATTCTCTTGATCCAAATCTGCAGTTCACTCTAGAGAAAACTAATTCGGAGGGGAATTTGCAGTTCCTGGATTTGAACATAAATGTATCGCAGGGTAGGCGTGTAACTTGCAGTTGGTATCAAAAAGCAACAGATACAGGGACTATACTGAACTATAGAAGCTGCGCCCCAACTCAGTATAAGCGTAGTGTTATCCAAGGCACTGTACACAGGGTTCTTAGGAGTGCATCTAGCTGGGAGCAATTTGATAAGGCTATGGAAACTAATAGGGCGCAATTGCTGACAAATCAGTACCCGGAAAATTGGTCCGCAAAGGTGGCTTCAGACGCCTTGTGCAAGATCGTCGAGGGTAAGCGCAAGCCCCTGAATAGTGAGAGGTGTTTGTCAATTCAATTACCAAAGGATGTGAAGCCCCCATTGCTGATGGTGCAATATAGAGGTAACCAGAGCCAATACTTTGGTAACGATTACGAAATTTAACTAAGGACCACAAAAAACAAGCATCATGTTTACCATCACTGAAGTCAGCATTTTCTTTTGATCTCAAGTCGAGAGTGGTTTATAAACTGTCTTGTACGGAATGCACATGCACCTATGTCGGACAAACTGTTCGACATTTGACCACTAGAATTGAGTAACATAAGAAAGCAGACTCGCCGGTAGGCCTCCACCTCCAGCAATGCCAACTTGAGGGAAATAGCGCAGATCTTAGTTGGGAAATTATAGCTAAGTCAAACAACCACACAAAATTGTTATTATTAGAGGCAATACATATCAGGAAAGAGAAACCGGGCTTGAACACGCGCGATGAGTTTAGGAGCAGGTAGTTAACACTGAAAATTTAGTCCCGAAATATTTTTGTTTTTTTTATTTAAAACGCACATTCCTAAATCGAAATTATGATTCAGAAACTTCCAGACAAGTTAATTTCAAAATGATTAATTAATTTTAGAGGTTAAAAGTATTTTAATTTTATTAGTAATTTAGAGGTCAACTGTGATTGGCTAATTTTTTAACATGATTGTTTAGAACCAAATTGTATGTGAATCATTGTAAATAACATTTGTAATTTGATGTTTTATCGTCATTAAGATTAGTTCATTGTAAAAATCCTGACGATGCACATAGTTGCGAAAACGTTTGAATTTTACTTTTTTTGCAAAAATTTCGTTGACTGTTTCTTTGACTTCTTCGTAGCAGTTTTTGACCGTTTCTTCAGGACTAATTTTTTCAAGTTTTTTCTACTTCTGTAGACGATTCTGATAAGTTTCTCTTCAAGGATCGAAGACGGGTGAATTTGCCGCGAATCTCGCAAGATTCTGTTGTTCTTTCTCTTTATTGTAGATAACAACTTTTTTACTGGGATAATGAGGATGTCCAATGTTCTCAATCTTTTGAGTATGTCTGTGGTGTTGGTTCGTTTTTAGTATACTAATGCTGCGATCCGGTGACGCTGTCCGTGGAGAGTCGAAAGCAATAGTTCTACTGAACTAGGTTTCCAACTGTTGCTGTGGTGGGGGGCCACAGTATTGTTGATCAAGTTATGCCACAGAATAAGTTTGTCTTCGTTCTTCTGGATCGACTGGTAGTTCTTTTTTGTAGCAGGGTTGATGCTCAATCCTCCTACTGATGTCTGGATGGGGAATATTTTTCGTTGAAAATTTTTAGGGGATGTGTCGATGGCCGCTCGAAAAGAGCTCGCGCCAACAAAGTGCACCATAAGTCTTCACCTGCAACACCTAGAGCAGCAGGACTTTGCCATTTTTCCGTTTAATCATCCGATTTTAGATTTAGCTCTAGGGCATATATCTGAAATTACACAGTTTGTATACGGGGAAAGGAATTCTATATAATAAGTTTATCACAACCTTTATGCCTTGCTGCCAACGCGGTCAACCTATTCCTCTGATAGATTGTGAAGTCGTGACCTTCCTACAACAAGTGGGTCGGTTAAAGATATTCCCTGATCGCCTGCTGCGCAGACTTAATAAAATATAAATTTTGGTTTATAGATATTGATTTATATCTAATTTAAGGTTCCTTCCTTCCTTATGAAAATTCAAAAGAACCAATTAAAGTTTGCCCTCCTAAGAAGTGCAAGGCGTTGCATTTGGGGGTCTAAGCAACTGAAAAACCATAATAGCCTTGACAGTTTTATTGAAATAATCGAGGAGGGTAGTGTTTAAATGACAAGTCTAATTGTTGTGATAAACTTAGCCTAATTGTTGTTTTAGCCTAATTGTTGTGATAAACTTATTAAATAGATTTGTTATGTTTGATGTTTGTGCCTGTATGTGGAGCGCCCTCTGAGGGATTTTAGAGACAGGTCTGTCAAGTGGCTTTCTGTGGGGAGGTGGGAAACTGGAACTGGCTTGAGGAGTCTGGTGGTGCGCCGCTGGACCTACTGAGCTCGGGTGAGATTGTTCCTTGTTTTTGATTTTTATAATTCGATTTTAAAATTTAAATTAATTTAATTGTCTTGTTTTTTATATGCTGATTTGTAAAATTCCTACTAACCGCTTATCATGGGTTAATTCATTCCACTAAAGTTCAGTCAATATCCTTTTTTTACCTTTATGCTGCGTCAAGATGAGGAAAAACAACAAAGAGTGTACAGGCAAAGATTGCTGAAAACTTTCAGGACTGATAAATTGGATTAGATGTGATTGTTGTTCTAGTTGGTATCATATCAGTTGTGTAAATATTTCTCTTAGCGACTCTAAGAAAACCCAATGGTTTCAGTGTCCTTTTTGCGTTGATGTAAAATCTGTTAAAAAAGCAACAATAGGTAATGATTTAGTGCTAGACAATTATGTTAATACAGCCATCTCAAATGTCCGAGTACTCAAGAGAGTACCAAAAGACTCGCGTGTTCCCTTGGCGGAAAGTCTGTCGGACAAAATAAATGACATCGTCTACAATGTAGAGGATGTTACAAAATGGCTAATTTTTTTAACGTCGTTATTGTTTTTTTTGGAGCAACCGAAAAGAAGTGGACGCAAACAGACCACAAACATGAGTTCTTTGATAAATAAAAAAATTCGAGCAAATGACGTGTCACTTCCAAAACCCCATCACCAAGTTTCAAGCCCGCCTCTGAGTGACCTCGAGCAGAGAATAAAGTTAATAAGTAGTAAGCTCGATGAAGGAAATGTAAAGGGAGGAATAAGGCTTGCTGCTTCGGATGACAAAATAGCTCCTTTTTCAACTGATAACTATCAAAAATTGTTGTCTAAGCACCCGCAGCGAGCCAAATTTGCAGCTCCAAATCCAGAAAAGTTGGATAGTTTTTTCGTAACCGATTTCGACCTATACAAAGCGATAATATCCTTTCCAAACGGATCAGCAGCAGGTCCTGATAAAATAGTTCCTCAAATTTTTAAAGATCTTGTTAGTAATTCGAATGGCAGTGCAGGACTTAATTTTCTGAAATCGCTTACTAAGCTGATAAACCTCATTGGAGATGGCAAAATACCCGAACCACTAAGACCTTTCTTTTTTGGCGCAAAGCTTATCGCCCTCATAAAGATAGACGGAGGGATGAGACCGATTACCATAGGCAACACGCTGAGACGTATTGCGTCTAAATGCGCTGGAAGCAAGTCCCTTTCCGAGCGACAAAATTTTTTCGGAAACGTACAGGTAGGATGCGGTACCAAGCGAGGAGCAGAAATAGCTGCGCACTCGTTTCGAAACCTAATTGAACGCGACGACAATCCAAAATGCACTGTTCTTTTAAAAGTAGATTTTAAGAATGCCTTTAACTCTTTAAGCAGAGAAACAATGCTGAATCATGTTTATTCAAATCGCCCCGAATTGTATAATTACACCCATTGCGCGTATGGTAAACCTAGTTACCTTTTTTATGGAAGCTCTGTCATAATGTCAGAAGACGAAACTCAACAAGGTGATCCTGAAGCCCCACCCCTTTTTGCGGAAACAATTCATACACTAGTCAAACAGTTGGAGTGAAAAATTAACATCTGGTATTTAGATGTTGGGAATTTAGCCGACGACTATAAGGTAGTACTACGGGACCTTAAAAACATTCTGAAATCGGAACAAATTTACGGCCTGAGCTTAAACACTGAGAAGTGTGAACTTTGTTTTTTGGGACCGACTATTAGTACACAGTATAATTCAATTTTAACACAATTTCGAAAAATATGCCCCAAAATAAAAATAAAAACAAAAGAAGAACTCCTCATTTTAGGATCTCCAATCGGCGAACTTTGCCGAAAAGAATTGCTTGACGAAAAAATTAAAGAACTTGAAAAAATCTCGGATGTCATTGACAAACTAGACGCCCATTATGGTTTTTACCTCCTGAAAAACTGCTTTAGCATGCCAAAACTCCTATATTTTTTGCGTACGAGCAAAATGATGATTTTTTGGAACGTTACGATAAATTACTAAGAAGTTCGTTATGCAAGGTCACTAACGTGAAAATGGATGATAACCAGTTTTTACAAGCAGTTCTCCCGGCAGCCAAAGGTGGCTTGGGCGTTTCTTCCGCTCGTCTACTCGCTTTACCCGCTTTCTTAGCCTCAGCAGTAGGAGCAAAAGATGCCTTGAGCGAAATCTTTGGTTTGGAGCATGTGGATGGAACCTCATGAAATTGAAAAATTTAAATGGCTCCGGAAAATGAAATCCAAAAAAATTGGACGGAGCCAATTTTTGACAGCGAAATTGCAGACTTGATTGTACGACTCGAACCAATGGACGTAAAAAAGTTTAACGCGTTCCATGATAGATTTGGCTCCCAATGGTTGAACGTCATCCCGTGCCAAAATTTAAGGTTAAAACTGTCGAACCAACAACTCAGAATTGCGATAGGACTTCGATTAGGATCAAAAATATGCGAACGGCATAAATGTGTGTGCGGAAAAGACGTTACCGAGGATGGTTGGCATGGTCTTTCTTGCCTCAAAAGTGCAGGGAGATTCTCTAGGCATTCAAACCTGAATGCCCTTATAAAGCAGAGTCTATCATCTACTCACATTCCGTCTGTTTTAGAACCACGACACCTCTACAGGACCGATCAGAAGCGACCAGACGGTTTGATCTTCGTTCCATGGGCTGATGGTAAGCAGCTTTTGTGGGGTGTAACGGTAGTAGACTCCTTAGCTCCTTGTAAGATTAATGCCGGGTCTGTTTGTAACCCTGTTACGGCTGCCGCTGAAGCGGAAGAGCGAAAAATTGACAAGTATAAAGATCTTGTAAATGATGGATATCTTTTTCAACCGCTAGCTTTTGAAATTCAGGGCGCGGCCGGCCACAGCACAGAAGTTTTTTTGAGCAAGCTTTGTAAGAACCTAAGCATATGCACTGAGGAACCCAGAGCAGGCAGCTTTTTAAAACAGAATCTCCCTGGCAATACAGATTGCGAACGCCGCTTGCGTACTCGGAACAATAAATGACAAAATAACTCTCGACGAAATTTTTTACCTGTAACACTTGTATATTATATTATCTCGCGTCGAGTTGCGTGTTCTTGAGGGACTCATGACTGTAACCTCGGTTACTATGATACTTTTGACCTTCTGATTACCTTAAGAGATAAGAATAAAGAAAATGACAAGTCTCTAAATGCTATTAAAACTGATTGAACTATTCCTAAATTGTTCGTTGAATGCATTTAATTAGCGTTGACATGGCCTCATCCAACCTGTCGCTTCCTTGGTAAAAACATTCCAAAAAATCATTGCAAATATTCGGGACAAAAAACTTATTTTTTTTTGTTCTGTGATTCGTGTTTTGAAGGCAAATGTCGAATATGCGTAATTCAATAACTTTCTACGCATTTCGATTGTTCTCATTACATCACGCTTTAAAAAACAACACTAATATTTGAAGTCAGCAAAAATTGTCTGTAATTTTTCTGAAAATTTGGTCGGATTATTCTGAGCTACACGCACAGCCACCGGCAACTCGTGTTTTTGCATGTTAGAGAAAGATGAATGCGCCCCCGTCATTTGAATGTCATACACAACAAGCTCTGGCCCTCAGTCCCGTGCCCCCCTTAAATGGGGAGAGGGTGCTAAAAATCTCACGGTCTTTACTTCTTTCGTTTTAGGTACGCTAAACATTGGCACGCTCAAAAGCAAGTCTATTGAGCTGTGTCAGTTGTTATCCAGGAGGAAAGTAGACATCTGTTGTCTGCAGGAGGTCCGCTATAGAAATGAAGGTACACGTTACTTTGGTGAAGGGTCGGAAAGGTATAAACTTCTATGGAAGGGAAACAATGAAGGTACAAACGGCGTCGGAATACTTGTGAAAGACAGGTTAACGGAGAATATTCTATCCCTGGAGAGATTATCTGACCGCATTATATGTGCTAAGGTGATAATTGAAAGCAAAATTTACAACTTTGTTTCTGTTTATGCTCCCCAGCAGGGCCGCCTTGATATAGAGAAAGATTTGTTTTATATGGCGCTTTGCGACTTTCTATTTAAATTGCCAAATAAAGAAGAGGTGGTCATTGCTGGCGACATGAACGGACACTGTGGTTCGGACCAAATAAACTACGAATCAGTTCTTGGCAGGTATGGAGTGGGAGGAAGAAACCCTGAGGGTATCAGAGTCCTGGATCTATGCCTTGCCCATAATCTTCAGATAGCAAATACATTCTTCAGGAAAAGGGAACAACAGCATTGGACCTATGCCAGTGGCGATAGACGCAGTCAGCTGGATCTGTTCCTATGCAATCGAAATGTTCGGCGTAATATCACGAATTTCACGACTTTCCCAGGAGAATGTATAGCACCGCAACATAAACTATGCTGTGCATATTTCAAAGTTAGATGTTCTAAGACAAAGAAAGCGAAAGGCCAGATAACCACGATTAAATCGCATAAATTGAAGGATGCAGTGCATCAAAGCCAGTTAAATGAGAAGTTGAGTGAAAAATTGTCACCAAATATTTCCTGGAAAGAATTACAACACGCAATTGTAGATTCAGCTAGGACAGTTTGTGGAGTGAAAAGCAACAAGAAACAATTCAATCATGACAATTGGTGGTGGGACGAAGCTATGAGGGAGACACTGAAAGCTAAGCGGGAAGCCTATAAAAAGTTCAAGGCCAGTGACACAACTGCAAACAAACTCGTATACGCCGAGTTGAAAAAGAAGGCCAAACGAGAAGTTTCTAGAGCTAAAGCTAACGCATGTCAAAGGTGGTGTGCAGACTTAAATAGCAAAAAAGGTCGTGAGAAAATGTTCCGATTGGCCAGATGCACAGCTACCGAAAGTCATGATGTTCGGGGAGGTAAATTCATTAAGAACGAAAGTGGCATACTCCTCACTGACGGGACTGATGTCCTCGAAAGATGGCGCGAGTATTTTGACTCGCTCTCTTCCAAACCAGCCATCGGTTCTATGATGGACTCTCTTCCCATCCATGGGCCTATCAGGGAAATTACCGAAACTGAAGTTGGCAAGGCAGTTATGCATTCATCTGACGGTAAAACACCCGGACCATCGTCCATAACGGCTGAAATGCTGAAAGCCTTGGACGCATCCAATTTCTCTGTCTTGACAAGCGTTCTACAAAGTGTCATTGACTCGGGGAAAATCCCGGATGAGTGGTGTACGAGTGATACCGTGACCATCTACAAAGGAAAAGGGGACCCCTTGCTATGTGGATCGTACAGGGGGATTCGCCTATTAGAGCACCCTATGAAGGTTTTTGAGCGTGTCATCGAATCACGCCTTCGCGGCATTGTATCGATAAATGACAGACAAAGAGGCTTTATGCCTAACCGAAGCGCAACCGATGCTATTCATCTGCTCCGTAGGTTGCAGGAAAAGTTCTTAGCAAAGAAACAAAAGCTTTATCATGTCTTTGTAGACTTAGAAAAAGCCTTCGATAAAGTACCAAGATATTTGATCGAGTGGTCTCTTAGGAGACAATACGTCCCTGAGAATCTAGTCAAAACGGTCATGTCGTTATACAGAAACTCGGTCTCCTGTATGAGGCGAGGAAATCAAAGGTCAAACCAATTCCAGGTCAACACTGGTGTGCACCAGGGCTCTGTCTTGAGTCCACTGCTCTTCATTCTGATAATTGAAGAACTCACCAAGGAATGTGGTGACGGAATTCCATGGGAAATTCTGTTTGCAGACGACTTGGTGCTGACAAGTGAGACCTTCGAGGGCGTGTTGCAAAAGTTTGCAAAGTGGAGAACAATTTTTGAATCAAATGGCATGAAAGTTAACATGGACAAAACGAAGTTAATGGTTACCGGGGAAGAGGGAAAGACCATAAAGTCGGGTGATTACCCTTGTGGGGTTTGCAGCAAAGGGGTCGGTAGTAATTCTATGATGTGTACTTCATGCAGGCTATGGGTACACAGAAGGTGCAGTGGCTTGCGGGCAAGCCAACGCCTCTCTGAAACCTTTGTTTGCAAAGTTTGCCAGAATCCCAAATCCAAGGCAACAGATAGTAAAATCACACTTGCAGATGGTGAAATTGAAAAGGTGGGTCAGTTCAAATATCTGGGGGACATGCTTCATCCGGATGGGAAGGTGGAAACTGCTGTGCGAGCCCGCATAAATTCCTTCTGGTTGAAGTTTAGAGAACTATCCAGACTCTTATTGGATAAGAATCTTCCACTTGTTCCGCGGGTTTTGATCTACAAGAGCTGTCTGCGTCCAGTGTTGTTATATGGAGCTGAAACTTGGTCAATGACAGACTCAAATTTTAAAATATTGAGATCAACGGAACTTAAAGTACTGCGATGGGTAATTGGTACTGACCTACATATGATCGCTTCTCGTTCTATTTATGAGCGTTGCGGTATTGACCATCTAGACATTTATTTGAGGAGGTCCCGTCTTCGGTGGTTCGGGCACACTCAGAGGAGCGTGCTCCTTGCAAATGCGCTAACAAACGTTTGTGTCCCCGGACCCAGATCAAAGGGTAGGCCGAAGAAGACATGGGACAAAACAATAGAGGAAGACCTATCCTTGCTGGGACTGAAAAAGGAGGAAGCCATGGACAGGGATTTGTGGAAGGCATTGTTGTCTAACCCCGTGTAGCACGGGAAAAAGACACAAAACGTTGATGATGATGATGATGACATCACGCTTTAAAAAACAACACTAATATTTGAAGTCAGCAAAAATTGTCTGTAATTTTTCTGAAAATTTGGTCGGATTATTCTGAGCTACACGCACAGCCACCGGCAACTCGTGTTTTTGCATGTTAGAGAAAGATGAATGCGCCCCCGTCATTTGAATCATTTCTTCTGCATGATGGAGAAAAGAAGCTTATTGTTCAGAAAGATACAAAAGTACCGAATGCTGCCCATTTTACGCTGAATCGTGAAGATCACACTGTCGGAAATTTGATAACAAATCAATTACTGAAGGTATTTTTTACTGCAATGTAAATTAAGATGTGTTGCGTTTAGTTTTTTAATACGTGACCTTGCTACTTAGGACCCTTGTGTAATTTTTGCTGGATATCGACAGCCTCATCCACTTGAGAATAGTGTTGTTATAAGAGTGCAAACAACGCCAGGAAGAACCCCTCATGATGCCTTCAAAGAAGCCGTCAGTGATCTGCTCTCCGAAATGTCACTGATAGAAGAAAGATTCAAATCAGCGGTTCAACAGCATCAGAAAGGCGATACATTTAGCTGATACGTTTCTTTGACGAAAAATTGTTCCATGTTTCAAATTCATTGTTTTTGTTAAACTTTTTTGCCATTTAGAGCTGTTCTGTTATTTTTAAAGAGTTCCACAATCTAAAGTAATGTAATACATAGGCCTTGTTTCAGATAATGGAAAATGATTTATTGAGGTATGAATCAACTGATGATGAAAATAGCGATGATGACTATGGCGATGGAACTGACTTCAGTTTAGAGGGTCCAAGGTTTACCAATCCTAGACATGATCAGCGGCAGTTTTCGCAGGACCAAACACATCAACACAAATCGAATGATAAAAGGCTGGGACCCTTTTTGGGGAAACCCGATAAGCGTGGAGATGGACCCTACTGTGCTTCCGATCTTGTGCACGCTAAATTTCAGTTCAACGATCCAGCATCAAATAGAGAAGAAAGAAGCATTGAGAGAATTTTTCCGCCTCAAGTCATTGACGCTGCCTCAGTCTTTGTTGATCACATAGTATGTCATCCATTTTCGATGCTGAAGATGCTCTGCCAAGTGAACTATTCGTCTAGATGGCCCCATGTCACACCTTTTACAGTTTTTCCTCTTGTGTATTCTCAAATATCACTACATGGATTCGGATCTATGTGGAAGGGACTGAAGAGCTCACTGATATATCATGGTCTGACAAGAGTTTGCGAAACGGCCGTCAGTGGTGCTACGAATTATCCCTTAGAAGCTAGAAGTGTTTACTCATTCAAACAGTTGTTCCAGCATCTGTTTGTCAAAGTAGCCAGCTGTATCATTATGACACCGTTTTATGCTTCGTTTGTGTTCGAAACGGTTCAAAGTTACTCCGCCTCTGATTCCGTAGGAATTTTAGAAGGCATTGGCGAAGGATTCAAAAGAGTCTTCGAAGTCAGGTCATCTATGCAAAGAGCATTACCTGTGTGGAAATTAGTCATTCCAATGACATTGTGTCATGTAGGACATTATCTAGCTTACAAGTTCATCAAAGGTGCTTTGCTAATATACTTCCGACATAGAGTAGAAGCTGAAAAGTGTTTCAACCGTGATAAACAGTTACCGTTGCCTTTCAAACCGGAAATGGAAATCATATACCCTCAGATGCTGTCTACTATATTAGCAAAGTTTATGGCGTCCTGTTTAGTTTACCCTGCTCAAACTTCTCTGAACAGGCTTTGCATTCAAGGCACAAGATGTATCATTGACAGTACAGATATGGCTGGAGAGGTCCTGCCTATTAGTACACAATATCGAGGCTTCACTCATTGTATCGCCTCAATAGCGAGAGATGAAGGTCAAATTGGGCTGTTCAGAGGACTCGGGGTTTTGGTAATGCAATGTGTCTTTCAGTTAACTGCGTTTTATTTCCTACAACCTACGTTTGAGAAGGCACTTGAAGTGTCAAAACAAATGAACTAAGATGACGAGAGAGAATATTTGATAAAATTTGATTGATAGATTTACTAATGTCTTTAGACTCATATCTTGAATATTCCTCAATTTAAATACTGCGTTAGTTTAGATTTAAACTACTTCAAAGTTCTAATGTTTCCTCCCAGCGTGAACAGATTAATATGGTGTCAAGATGAAGGATGTTTTCAGAATTATGTAATGGAACACCGCGTGAGTAGTCAGTCGACATTAACCCGGCAACAGCCACAACACCCCATGGCTCCCCACAGTTCACTGCCCCCGCACATGCAGACAGAGCAACAGATGATAAATCACATGAAAATGATGAATGGTGGCGGCAGTCCCAGAGGCTACAACTCAATGGAACGCAGCTACTCAAACCAGCCTACTATCCCCCAAGGCCAAGGACCCCCTCCTAGTTATGCCCCTTCCCCATTCCAATACAACTCTCTTCAGAGAAACAACCCCATGCAAATGCCACCAGGCCACCCCCAAATGATGCAACAGATGTCCATGCCTGCACCCACCCCTCCACCACCTTACGGAGGTACTCTCACCCACCCTCAGATGGTGAATGGGAATTCAAATAACAATATGATGATTCCCCAACTTACTCCCCAACAAAGTTCTGCCTCTCTGCAATTCGGACCCCAGGCCACGGCAAATATGGGATATCCTGTAGAAATGCAATTCAACCCTGCGCAAGGTATGCCCCACGGATCTCAGATGCCAGGTATGATTCCTGGCCAGTTTGGTATGTCGTCTGCGTACCCACCCCTGCCCCAGCCACAACAAGTGCACATCTCCCAAAGCTCCACTCTCCCGTTGAACACCGGCTCCATGCAAAGTGTTAACTCCAGTATGAGGTCTCGGTCAAAGTCAAGAAGCAGCAAGACGATGGTGCTCAGAGTACTATTGCTTGATGGAACAACGCCGAAGTTTGACCTCTCAGTTAGTAGTCTTTTTCGCCCTAAAACGAGGCTCTTTGAACAGAAGCATGTCCTTAATTTACTACCGTCTAAAGTTGATAAAAATTATTTTCCGTTTTCCGAGTAAGTCTGCCTGATCCAAACTGTATTTTGTTGCTCAACTGTATTTTGTTGTTCAAACTGTTTTTTCCTAGACTAGAGGTACTAAAGACTAGAAGTTGCTATAAGGCTGATAAATTAGGTGTTTTTACGTTTCAATTTGTGCTGTTTAGATAAAATCGACCGGTGGTGAATTCTATCAGAAAGTGGTTGACCATCTGAATCTCCTGGAAACAGATTACTTCGGCCTGCAATACGCTGCTGATCATGCTGGAAGTGTAGTAAGTACCTTTCCCATTGTTGAATTCTTCGCGTGCAGGGATTTTCAAAAGTTTCCACTTGATGCTCAAGTTGTGCTGAAATCTCCGAACAATGCCGGTATGGCTTAAAAAATGTTCCACCAAAACTGGCAAATTTCTCAAACCGTTTTTACCCCCCAGTAAAGTGTCTGTGTTATCGGGAACTAGACTTTTTTCCCGTTAAAGGTTTTTCTTACAAATCTTACTTTTTTACTTGCTTTATTGTTAAAGCTTAACAACTTCCAGGTTCCTTCACACTTGAAACCTAAGGTCTGGGGCTTGAGTCTCAGTCGGACCCTGTTTTTTTTTCTGTATGCAATTGACATTTTTCGGTAAAAATTGAATAGTCCGGCTTTCGTTTGTCGGCTCAAGTTTTGTCGGCTTAGTTGCCCATCACGGATTTTGGTTTTGCTGTAACCAATTTTCATTGCAGTTGCAAGTGCGAGTGTTGTTCAATGTAGTCTCACTGGGAATTTTTAGTTTTTTTTTGCTTAACTGGAGTCTGCTCAAAGATAATCGGCTTAGTTGCCTTATCAAGGATTTCTTCTGTAAACAGCTTTCATTGAAGTTGCAAGTGCAAGTGTATGCTCAATGTATAGTTTCAGGGGGTACTTCAATTTTTTCAAAAAAAATCGTGTAAATTAGTTTTATATTGTTATTTATTATGATTAATTTTTTTCTTAATTTCAATATTTAAATGTCTCACTTCTTTGCCTACAACGAAGTTCTATCGAGGCTTACGAAAATTTAAGTTGACCTAGTTTTCTTTGCAACATTTCAGGTTTCCGACCTAATGTTTTTTTTATGTCTGTGTTGTATCTCAAGTGATGCAAAGCTCCGCTTCGCCTCTGTGTTGAAACATTCTTAGAGCTTTTCTCAGATACTTCGCACTGAAACGAGTTATCTGTCACCGTGTTTTTTTTACAGTACTGGCTTGAGATGCAGAAACCCATTTGCAAGCAAGTCAAAGCCCCCGCTGGAATCCTATTCCGATTTGCGGTCAAGTTCTACACATCAGAACCGGGACAGTTACAGGATGAATACACAAAGTGAGTATCTTCATTTATAAGACTCCTTAGATTTTTACCGTTATTGGTGAAAAATGATATTAAAAATCAGACCGTTGTTTCTTTTGCATCGTAGGAAAATATGGTGAGACGGTTATTAGTAAAAAAAATAATAATGTTTAATTTCTGGTAGCTATCTGTAATTGATTTGAAATCATTAACTGGTTCAAGATCCTTTGACATTATAATGTAGCAAATCTGAAGATCAAGAAGAAAAAATAGATGCATCATCTGTTTGGATGTTATTGTGGCGGATGTTATCTTTTAATGGCGATAATACTTGCAGGGTTCTATTCGCCTTGCAAATTAAACGAGACATGGCCTGTGGCATGCTTCCTTGTGCGGAAAACACAGCTGCTCTCATGGCGTCTTACATCGTGCAAGCAGAGTTGGGGGACTTTGATGTGGAAAAGAACAGTGGCATTGGAGGACCCGATGCCTCCTCCCCTAGATACCTGTCCATGTTTAAGTTCATACCTCCCCAGACTGACGAGTTCCTTGTCAAGGTCATGGAGTATCATAAAAACCACATGTGAGTAGTGCACATAAGATAAGACATTTTGGCTCTCGTCTTTTTCAACTTTCTACAGCCCTCCTAAAATTGCAATTTTAAGTTGCCCAAAGTGTCTTCATAAGTCCGCTGTTTACTTCACGTTGATTTATACCATTTATACCAAGAAAAGATATTTTTATTTACGAAATAATAGTTCTGCAAAAATCAAACGGAGAACTGGTAGCTATCTGTTGTGGTTTTCAACGCATTATTTGTTGTGGTTTCGCAAGTTGCAGAGTTCCGCTTCGCCTCTGTGTATATTGTTTAATGATCTTCTATTAAGTGATATTAGTTGAGATATTTTGCTTCAGAGGCCAGTCGGCTGCCGAAGCAGATTTCAGTCTTCTGGATATTGCAAGGCGTCTGGAGATGTACGGCATCCGATTACACCCCGCAAGAGTAAGTCAATATGTTTGTTTCGAGCAGACCTCCTAAAGGTTAGAAGTAACTACGCAATTTTTAACTTTCATTCTAGCATTTCTCACCTAGATCACTTCTTTTTCACACTTGCGAGCTTGCGAGCGGAAGTGTATTAGTGCAAACCTTTTTTTCCAACCTAACTTGCTTGTGTTCATTGAAAGTTTTTTTTAATTATATGGAAATTTCAATGTAGCATTGGAAATTGCATAGCATCTGTTCTCTGGTTTATTTGTGGCTAGTGTTTGTCTTAATTGAGCGTCCGTAGCTGAGTGATTAGTGCTTGAGACTCGTAATCTCTAGGTCTCAGTCGGTCGTATGTTCGAATCAGAGACGTAGCAAAATTTTTACTAATTCGAGGTATATTTCTATTTTTTTTTTCATTTCACACTTAATAGAGCTGCTGTTTGTCGTGTGCTCGCTGCTGTTTGCCTTTGTGCCTAGATAAGAAAGTAACAACTTCGAAATATTAAAAAAAAATTGTTGTTTAAGTGTGAATGAGCGAAACGATGATAATTATAAAATCGTTTTTTTTTTCTGAAGAAATTTGTTCACTCCAAATTTGATTTTTTTGAGTTTTTTCTCATTTCAGTTCAATTTCATTTGTTAAAAGAAGGGCAAACCACCGTTTCCGAAAATAGAAATTAAATTGGCTAAAAAACGAAACAGACTGAGTTTCAAAAGTGGATTTAAGATTTTAGATTTTGAGTTAGGACTGGGTTGTATAACTCATAGAGTAATTTCGGATAGGGTACACCGTCTGCTCGTCACGCTATCTTATTTTCGGCCGGATAGATTCGTGCAACTTCTTAGTCTAATACCGATCCTAATCTTACTCTTATACTATCTAGTCTCAGGTTGTTTAACTAGTCTCTGCTAGGCTCAATAGATCTAGGGTATACTGGTTTATTGCGGTTTCTGAAGTGCTCGGGAGAGTCCAACTAATTTCTAAGTTAAATTCAAATCTCTCTGGTGCTGAAATTACAAGTAACTTCAGCACTTACAAATAAGTGGGTTGTTAGTTAGATGGATCATGATTGGTTAATATTAAATACTTTACATTGGTAAAACATTTAATTTATCCAATCATAAAATATAGTTTAGATCAGGTTCCACCCATCCGGGTTTTACAGAGTTTTTTAGAATAGTTCTTCTGCAATTCGAAGGATGGATGATGGACGTTGACGTTTGACGAACATCTTATTTCTTCTGTTTCCTTTTTGGTAGAGGAGTTCCAGGAAGCTGGAGTTAGAGACATAAGACGTTGTGTCTTCTGGTGACAACGACTAAGTCTTTGCAACAAACTCAAATCTGATTTCAGAATGGTTTGCTATGTCAGGTTTTTCTGTTCTGCGTGGAGAACTTCTTTTGTGTCTGATCTTGTTTGGGAATGGCGTGGAGATTGTGCGTGGAGGGGATGCCTAGTTACTCGGATCTGTACGTATACTTGAACATCGAGGTGGTCATTGGTCTGGTTCAATGAAGTCCTTTTCTGCGAAGTCAAGTCGTACTCTAAATCCTTTGAGTTGTGATTGTGAGCGGCATATCGATTGTAGTTGGCCATTCTTTCTCGAGTGTAGTGGGGTCGTTTTGTCTTTAGATGTTCGTCCTTGGTGTTGTATTCTGATCTATGTATTGCATAATGTAATTTACATTTTTTATAAAACATTTATTAGTTTAATATTTTTTAATTATGATTTTAGTTAGTTGTTTTCACAAAAGCTTTTTGTTTTAGTTCGGTTATTTTGAAGAGTTACTCACACTTGAGTAGCTCTTATTAAAAATAGTGGTGTGGTCACAAAGCGTGGATGTAGCGCGGTGGGTTAGGCCGGCTATAGAGCATGCTCAGGACGTCCTTCCTGGTGGGTTAGGCCAGGAGTGGGAGTATGATTTCATGCGGTTTTTGTGAGGGGTCCTGTTATGTGACAACGTTTTATGTTGGGTTTGTTGTGGTTTTTCTTATGTCTTGTAGGTTATATCCTTTTTCCAAAAATCAAATTGTTTGCGGTATGGGTTTGTCTTTCGACTTTTTTGTGTTTTATTATTTCTTTCTTAGACTTTATAATAGTCTTCAAAAGAATAAATTATCCAGTTTTAAACTGGGTTAATCCGGTTTGGGTACCGTTGGTTTCCTTTTCTTAGTCATGCTGTTATTATATGATTTGTGGTATTTAGTAAGCTGCGTTGGTTAGTTTTGTTTAGTATATGATTCCTTTCCAACCGGGTTAAAGGAAAGATTGAAACTTGTTATCGTGTGTTAGAGTTGTTGAGTGTGAAAACTTGAAACTGAAATTCATTATTTTAAACAATTCTTCGTGGGCGAGCTGTGCGAGTGTGGATAGAATTTCTGTGCGAATGAATGAAAATATCAAAAGGTTAGTACTGCATTTGCATTTTATTAATTTACTGCGTAGAATATAGAAATTTACTGCTAGTTATGGGGGAATTTTAAGTTACAAATTTTCATCATAATTAGATTTACTGCTTGTGGGGAAAATTTTATAAATGAATTTACTGCATTGGTATTAAATTTATAAATTAATAAGTGTAAGAGATTAATAGAATTTTTGAAATATGTTTGATGAAATTTGCGATTTTTTATTTGTCTTTTGTGGTTTTTGTAGGTGATCGTCGGATGAAGGCTAAAAATCTAAAGAAAACATGGATAAAGAATGGTGAGTTTTTAATAATTTCAATTAGTTAGTAATATTCATTTAATTCATACTTACCTGTTAGTCGTCGGGGAAAAAACCGTGGGGGAAGATGTCGTGAATTAGTTCTGAAGTTGTTAGTAATTTAGCTAAGATGCGTATGATATTTTTTGTCTGAAGCAGTGGCCAAAGCAATTGAAGTGCCTTAATAGTGGTTAGTTCTTCAGTGCCAACTGCAAACTCATAAGGTGTGTTTTGGATTAGATTATATAATTTGTGATTGAATTTAGTGTTGTGGATGAATTCTAAAATTGGGATTTCTATAGGTTGTACAAACTCGTGCGGGATAAGGAAGGGTCGGGATTCTTCGGCGTTGAAGGTCTTGGTGATGGGACAGAAGATGTACATTTGGGTTATGGGGTCATAATTACGAAGAATACCATGAAGGTTAGTGTCTTTAATACAATAAGTGAAATTTAGGAAAAATGGTGAAGTGTATTTGGAATTAAGGAATTGAAAGCGATGGTGTGGTTGTCTAGATGGTGTGTGTAGGTCAAAGTGATTTTGGATGAAGCGATAATAACTATATGTGTGGGTTTGTTTAGTGCGCAACATAATATCGTGTGAGCAGTGTAAATCTCTTTCGTGTGGTGCAAGGAAATGAAAGGTTAGTGAAAATATTTGGAAGCGTTCTTTAAAACTTTCGTATGCTTGTGTGTCTGTTAGTGCTTCTGAAATAATGTGATCAAACTTTCGGTCGAAGATGTTTAGTGTAAATAGATAAGGTGTCTTGATGAAAAATTTCTCGGTAATTTGTGGATTAGCGAAGCGATCGTCGTCTAAGAATTGATCTTGGTTAGCTCTGATGATGTTGTGATCATAGAATTCGAGTGTATATTCGTTAGCTCTAGGTGCAGTGTGTGTTTTTAGTGATTTTTTATATCCAACGTAAGTAAATTGTCTAGCGGTTAGTGGTGTAGTGAGTCGATATAGCATGTCCGAATTTCGCTCTATATCGATGTGAGTGTTAGATAAAGGTAAGCAAAGGGGGTTAGTAAAGTGATAATATGAGGTCCAAGAGAGAGTGGGTATTAAAACGTATTCATCTACAAAGTTGCGTGTTTCGTTAGTATCATGGGGGGTGTTTAAGGTGTATTGTGGGAATGAGGGTAAAGTGATGGCTAAAAATTCTTTTGTGTTAGTATGCTTGGGGTGGTTGATGTATTCACGGGCTGTTCCTGGTTTTGCTGGGAAAGGATTGTTGGGGAATTTTCTTTTAAAAGTGCGGTAAGCTCTATTAGTGTTGAGTGAAGATTCAGTTGATGTGGATGATGGTGCTAATGATTCTGTATAAGTTGAAGAGGGTGTAGGGGTAGGGGGGTTGGATGAATTTATAGTGGAGGATATTTGGTTTATGGTTGGGGTATTAAGGTGGTAGGGTTGTTGTTGGAGGGTAATAAAATTTTCTAGCTCTGGGGAGATTCGGGGGGTGTCTGGAGAATGGGATGATTGGTCAGAATGGTATGAGGAGTAGGTGGGGGTAACTTGGGAAGCATAAGAGGGTGTGGGGGTGATTTGGTCAGGGTTATTGGATAATATGGGTTGAAAAGGGGGTTGAGAAAAATTAGAAGAGATATGAAGATTATTGGATGGGGATGGTTCTGAGTCGGCGAATTCATCGGGGGTTTCAATATTCGGGTTATTGAGTTGTGAGATGGAATATAAAACTGAGATGTGTGAATTAGTGTCGGAATTCATGCCTGATGTTACATTACTGGATGGAAAATCGGGTGGCGGAAAAGCAAAAAGTGGTATTATTGGGATTGTAGATGTAAGATTGGTTGGGTGGGAATTTGATCGGTGTAGTGATCCAAGTTGGCGGCTCATCGTGGGCTAAAAAAATGATTATTTTGAGACTGAAAAGCGGTGGTATGGGGTTGTTCAATAATTTGTTCATAAGTATTATCATCTTGTGACTGGTGTGTCATTATATGTTGAATGGGACTTTGTGATGTGGTGAGTCGAAAATTTGGATTATGGGTGATGGCTAAATTTCGAAAATTTCGTGGGACTAGGGATAGTGGATGATTATTTGGTAGGGGTGGTAATTGTGGTGCCGTTGGCGTTATGTCTACATTGTTATGTTCTTCGTCGTATGTATTTTGTCGTGTTGTTATTTTTGTGTTATATTCTTTTATTTGTGCGTCTAAAAGAATTTTGTTTATAGATGTAGAAAAGATTCCAAAAAATCCTGCAAATAGTATGCGTGCTACACTTGCTTGTCTATTGACTTGTGTGTGTATAGCACATGTGTTATAGATTCCTTTTAAA